TGGTTTAGGAAAATATAAAAAATAAATTGAAACCACTTGAATTAATTCTCAGTTGTTTGTTCCTTAGGAAATGTATTTGCTCTTCAGACAAACGTCTTCAGACCTCTAAATACTGTTGGATACAAAGCTATGAAATACTTCAGTATTGGGGTTCCATAGTGTAATGGTTAGCACTCTGGACTCTGAAATACTTCAGTATATGCTGCATTGTCACATCCATTGGTACCTTAAGGGCACTAATTGGCATCTTTGATTGGATGTCTTGTTCCTGCCCAAAGAGCCAGTTCAGTTTGGAAGCAATCTTCTCAAGACTGTGTACCTCTCAGTACTGCTGGCTTTTGGTTCCATAAGCTTATTTTGTCCACGGATGACAATAATTCCTTTTCTCTTTCCCCAGCTTTTCCTCAAAATGAGGTCTTAGAGCTCAGGGCACCTCAGTGACTCAACACACCCACCTTTTCTTCTTGTTTGAATCACTCATTATTTTTACAAGTATTAATTGGACACCCACTATTGGGTACCACTGTGTAGGGGATTTAAGAGTTTTAAGGACACAAAGGTAGTTTCTTCGTGAGTTTTTTTCCCAAAAAGAGTTAAAGATTAATAAAGTATGTAAAAGCCATGTCTATGACTATTATATAAAAAGAAAATGACAGGGACATGAGAAAGGGACAGGTGAAATCTTAGGAGTCAGAGGAGGGAGCATCTACTGTCAGTAGAAGGGTTAGTTAGGGACAGTTTTCTGGAGAGGGTGAAGGTCAAGTGTTCCCTCTACTGCAACAGACTACACATGCACATAGATTCACACACAAGTCACAATGCTGCATTAATTTTCAGTTCTTACCCTAAATGCTCTCTTCTCCATACCCAAGCTACCTCATTTAAATCATGAACCCACTGTATCTACTGTAGACTGGTTTGCCCTTCCCACTGAATGAATGGCTCTATCCAAGTACCAAGTACCCTAATTGTTACTACCACTAGATTCTTTTCAAGTCTGATTTCATTTGATCTTTTTCTCCCTTGCATCCAACACTCTTGACTACTTCTTTCTCCCTTTGACTTCCTAAATAGCACTCTCTTTTGATTCTGTTCGCCCTCAGAGCATTGTTCCTCAGGATTCTTTCCAGCTTTTCTTCTCCTAACAACTTATTTAAGTTTTGGTATACCTCAAATTTTTCTGACCTCCTAACCACTCACTGGGTATGCCCTCCCTGAATGAGCTCATTCAGTCCAATGGTCTCAGTTAATATCTTCACCTAAACTCAGTCATATGTTTGGGCTCAAAAGCGCTATAGGACATTTCCACTGCAGTCCACCTTAAGTCCTGTTCTGCGTGGGAGTCCCTGAAAAAGCACACTGAGAATTGGAGTGCAGCATATTTGTTAAGGAGTAGAGTACTCTTGGGAACATCTTTAGAAGGGGAAAGAAAGAAGTGTCTTGGACAAAAGGAGAAGTTAGGATGTAATGCATTCAGAAAGCCTTAGGTAACTTCACGAGGAGCCTGAAGCTGAGATGTCTTGCAATATTGTCCCTCATTGGAGCAAAGGGACTGGGTCCCTGCACTGATCAGTAATGGATGCTGGATGCCCCCAGAAAGGGGCTTGACATGGGCGAGAAGCCTCATATTCCCAGTAGCACAGAGAGCATGTCCTTTAACCCTGAAGGGGTATCTGGACAGCCCAGCACAATGTTTACTACAGGCACCTAAAATGTCTGTAACCCTGTATCCATTATTTTTTCCACAAATGTGTTACTTCTCTTGCATTTCTGTGTTTGTTGAATTGCCCTCCTGTCTGCCCACAATTCAGCCATTCAGAAACGCTTGCAGTCTTGCGAGTACATCAGGCCATTTCATATCTCCCTGCCTTTGATCATGATGTTCCTTCTGCCTGGAAGATTCTTTCATCCCACTCCCTTGCTACTTGAGAATGCCTATTCATCTTTCAAGTCTTATTTCAAGCAGTAACCCTCTGTGAAACCTTTCCTGGCTTGCTTCCTCCCCCTTGAATCATCCCATTCTTTATTTATGACTCCACTATGTCCCAACACACTGCGATCTTTAAATCTATAATTTGTAATTGCCCTCTTTGTACCCATGACTATCTGTCATATTTGTATTCTCCTAGAAGGCAGAAATTATGTCTGATTTATTTCTGAAGAGCATGGAAGAAAGCACATTAATTAATGATGAATGAAAAGATGTTAAGTAGAGGGGAGGGGCCAGTTGCTAACAGACAGGATGAATCTGAAAAACAAACAAAAAAACCCCAAAACAAACAAGCTTGGTTTTGTGGCTTTCTCCAATTATGCGCCAAAGTCTCATGATAGGAAGAGGAAAGATAATGTGAAGTGCTCAGAGTAAGACCTGAGAAATTGGATCCATTGGAAGGACACAGTATGGAAGAGATCAAGGCTTCTAGTGAGAGCTATATGGAAATGGCTACCCAGAGGGAGTGGCTTGTGTCGGAGACAGATGAGCCTGCAGTATGCTGGATGGACTGTGTGCATAAGTGGTCCAGAAGCTGGAGGATGGAAATGATAGAATCAGTACCAGTGAGGCTGTGGGAAGGGAAGGAGGAAAGGAGAATTTTGGAGCTCAAAATTTTGGAGATGAAGCAGTTTGGGGTGATGACAAGGTTCAAGAGTCAGTCTTAAATTTAGGTTGCTTAAGGGGAGAATAATGAAGATAAAGATTGTTATCACTAAAGAAACTGAAAAATCTTTGAAATCAGGAACCTGTGCAGGTTTTTTATTAGTTACCATATATCTTGGTCCCTTGGCCCCTTTCTGCATTATGCCTACTGTTCCAGTGTAATTATTAATAGTATTTCTCTCACTCTCAAAAGTATCCTTGTTTGGATGATAAATTATAGTCACTCTAGTTATTATTAACTTCCCCAAACACCACGATAGTACTTAGTGTAGCTAACTAAGATAGCTTTCTGGACTTTCAGAGAAAAGTCGGGCTTTCAAAATTAGAATATTCACAATTAGAATTAAAATAGAGTAGGAGACTTAAAGAATAGTTATTGCAATTTATTACAGGAAGATAATAATAAATGTACTTCTAATGAAAACATATATCACAATTAGAATTTTTAAGCTTGTATTTACACACAAAATCTTAAGTTTTCCGTAGTATGGATCCTACTTTTTTTTTTTTTTTTAAGATTTTATTTATTTATTCATGAGAGACAGAGAGAGAGAAAGAGGCAGAAAAACAGGCAGAGGGAGAAGCAGGCTCCATGCAAGGACTCCAGGATCAGGCAGGCCCTGGGCTGAAGGTGGCGCCAAACCGCTGAGCCACCAGGCTGCCCTGGGTCCTACTTTTTTTTTTGGGGGGGGGGTCCTACTTTTTAATGATTTTTTAGGATAGAGTGAATTAGAACAAATAAGTAAAGTTTAACATGTGGCTTGATAACTTACATTGAAAGAGAAGTCCTCCAACTTCAAGATGCTTCACATATAATTGCTCCATTGTATAGAGGAAAGAACACAGAATGAAAATCAGAGGATGTAGCTCAGCTTCTTACCAGCTAACATGAAAATAACCAAGTTAATTATTCTGTCTAAGCCTATTTCCTCATTGGTAAAAGCAGATAATAATGGCCACCTGACCTCTCAAAGGGGTCATTTGGTGAGGACCAAATGGTATAATGGAAAATTCTTTTAAAAACTGTACAGATGTAAGTATACCAAATGTCCTTTCTAAAGACAAAACAGAAGCAAAAACAAAACAAGAAAAAAGAGAGATTCCAGGTGAGTTATTAGTATTTTTGTTTTTAATTAACTTGAATATCTTTATATAAATAGAGAGTTAACTAGTTTGTCACTGTTAATACGTAAACAGATGAGTTGTTCAGGATTTAAAAATTCATTTCATAAAATAGGATGTAGAAAGAACACTGGGAATAACTGGAAACCATAGTTATCTTGTTAGAAATCTGTCTTCTCATTTTATGTGAAAGACAGAATAATTAGGGAACCGAAGGCCTGATGAGAAAATGAGGTAATTTTTGGAGACAGAAATATCTAATTCATTCTTTCATAAGTGTTTTGCCTATTAAAAGCCCTCAACCTAGCCATCAGAAGGTCAACCATTTTATAGATTAATTCACTCAACCTCCGTCAGAGGTTAGGAACTCTCTGGTGAGAACAGCTGTTTGTCATTTGTCTTTCCACATCAAAGACCCAGGGAAATTCTTTAGTAAATTAGGGAGGTATTAAGGAGATGGGATTAGTTCCTGGTATAAAGAAACTGCATACTACAACACTCGTTTCCCTATAACGAAGGTAGGAAATAATAAACACTAATTGGAGCAATAAAGCTTCCTAGAAAATCAGGCCTAGGACATTTTATTCTAAGACATACTTATCCTAAGTTTGCAAATACGTCAAAAATTTTAGGTAAAACACCATATGTAAGTTTATATGGGAAAATTCTTTATTTTTCATGCAGAATACAGATTTTTCTGACAGTAAACTTAACTTTAGTTATTAAAAAAGAGGCAAGTTTATTCTTGTACACAGCTTGTAGTAAGTTTGTAGGATAATAGGAAAAGAATGTAAATATCTGTGAAAATGGATATATTTTGGTAAGAAAATGAATATATTTTAAAATTCCAACGCTGGTCTAAGATCTGTGTTAGGCATATTACATGAATAATGACATTTAATTCCCATAGCAATAAATGAGGTAGGGTTAGTTCCCACCTCACTTTTCATAAAGGGAAAGTAAGGTACAGTAGCTAGGTTAAGTTAGAAGCCTTTAGGGGGAAATCTAAAGATTATCCCTACCTCACCCCAGGATTCCCTGGTTATCTAATCAGACACTAATGTAGGTAGTGTTGTGAA